ATAGCAGAAGTGTTTTACCACTCACTGAGAAGAATATGCAGACCTACGCATACACGGAAACACAATGACCGCGTGTGTTTGCTGACTCTTCGTTTCCTCGTCTTTCAGCGAGAAATTTCACGGATAAAGAAGTCAACTCACTAAATGTAAACACACTTTCTCACAGCAGAACTCAACAAAAGAGATTATATAGAAAATCCGGGTACATTGTTCGTGTGTGTGCACTCCAATCAGAGGGTGCAAAGAGTCGCAAACAATAACATTTCAACAACAATATGGAAAAAGCTATAAGCTGAATCCCGACAACATCCCGCCGTGCCTGTGTCACATCTGAGCCACGGTAGGGAACCACTCAATACCTTATCTGCAGCACAAAGCAAACGTCACGATCGTGCCTCGACACAGGCGCTGAAATAAACAACAACACAGATCCTGGCACACACGCTGACACTCAATTAACTGTAGACAAGTGATGAGTCACGTCTCATTTTTAGATCAGTAAACAGTCGGTAAATGCACTTAATAATCACGGTCTAAAAACATCATGAGACGCTGCTGAAACAACACTGCCTAATGACAAGCAGAGGTAAATGCTTTTGTTTGTCTGCTTCATTATCAGCAACAACACTTTAAGTGGCCTACGTAACTGTGCACATCTATAAGTGTCCTGTACCCGAGGGTGAATTTGAGGCTGTAAAACAGGAGCAATAATTTTTCAATTTGTGATCTAAAACAAATTTTAGAAATTACAGTTTGACTTATACTGTACGAGGCAAAATTCAAGTTTCTTGCACATCAGAGGACAGCAGATCCAGGTACTCAACGCAACCCCTCAACAGCCTATCAGTCTAAATGATTACAGGGCTGCCAAGTTTCAGAAAATAACAAGAGTGAGACTTTAGCATGAGGATGTGTTCACCCGCCGACCATAGGTTGGCAGCAAATTTTTTTGCCTTTTTTAATGTCGATTTATACCTTCAGACTGATGTCCTCACCTCCATACCAGCTGCTCTCCCTAATGCTTGTCTTAACTAACCAGAAATTAGAAAAGAAAATTGTCCCAAGAATTTTGACAAAATACATTTATTTGTCAATATTGCAATATGTTGAGTGAGTTTTAAATGTTGGCGCTGTTGTGTGTGAAAGGTAGTTAGAGACGCCAAGACCTGCTTTATGTTGGTTAGATAGTGGTTAATTAGATTTAGGCACAGAGGACTGATGGATTGGTCTGGGATTGGAGGATTGGTTATCTTGGTCAGTCAATCAGAGTTACTCGAACTACAGCAAGTCAAGTTTATTATCATGAAAAAAATAAATACAGAGTATTGAATGGGGAAATATAAGCGTGAGAAATGTCAGGTGTGGCGTGTGGTGTGAGAATGAGTCAAATTGTGTGATTGTCACACTAAAAGTGTGACACTTGGCAGCTCTGTGAATATATAACTACATTCTGCATTGTGATTGTGATCTAATTTGATAAATCAAATCTTTTGATGATGCCTTACTCGCACATGCATGTGTTTACAAGCTCTACTTGCCTTTTAAACTAGGGTTAGGGTTAGGGTTAGATGAAAATTTTAAAAGTAAAAGCAGCATGCTAAGCTTGTATATTGCAATATTAAGCATTGATTTACTTTGAGAAGAATGATGTATTAAAATCCTGCCACTCAGCAGTATGTGGATCTGCTCATAAGTTACCACAGCTTATGAGTGTTTTCTCTCTCTGTCAATTAAACTTTCCTTTTCATTGATACAGTCCAGCTCCATATTTGGACACAGATGTCTATTTAACACAGTATTTCATGTTTGAAATACTGAGAAGCCTCGTCCAAGAAGTAAGCCTGGTGCAGGATGGAGAAAACAAAGTCCCATTACTTTTCAAAACAAAGCAAACACTGCCACCTTGTGGTCAAAGTTGGTATTAGATATGTCTTCTGCTTGTTGGCCTCTAACTTCATGTTTGCCTCTAAAACACAGAGAGGACTCCAATTAGAGCAGCTGATACTTTTACCACAAACCCTCAACATGAACTGATTAAAATCTTAGACCACTCCGGAGGTGAAAACAGGATGTATTATACATGAAACAATTTCCTCCCTCTTCAGAATAATTCAATCTCCAGGAGAGCCTTCTCCTCATCACTTCATACCTGAATTCAAAGATGCCCTCTGCATATTTTATAAGATCACACTGAATGATTCACAACATTGTGCAGACAAAGAGGAGGACGAAATAAACAAGTACTTATTTGACTTTGCTTTTTTTGTGGAGGAAATCTATAAAAAAAATAACCATCTATGACATATTGACCCAAGGTGAGTTTTATTCCAAGCAAATTAATAAAGATTTTAATAAAAGTTTCATCTTAAGTGCACTGAGCAAATACCGGTGATAATTCAACTTATTCAGGTCATGATAAAAGAAAAAAAACTAAATCAACAGAAGTTTTGGGGGAAAAAAAGTGAAGAAAACATCAAAACCATGTCTAATTAACACAAGTATTCAAAGTGCAGTGTGCTGTATATGGTGTCACTTTGCAGAGAAGACTTGGTAGAAATAGAATTTAATATTTATTGAATATTAAATCAGTGAATAATCACCTGAATATAAAAACTGCTTTGTTTTTGTAGCTTTGAATTAGCACAGAATAGACAAACGAATGACAAACACATCGTTGTATTTAAATGCACCAGCTCTCAGTTGTGAATAATAAAAACTAATATCGATGGTGGATGTTATGGATGAATGGTATCATACTTACCATGCATAACAAGAGCTTCTTGTCCAGGAGGGCAAACATTTCAGCCAAAGAAGGGGTGAGCAAGGAAGCATTTCAATATGGCGTCATATCAAATTAGAATATAATATAGTTATGGGAACAATAACACGCAAGTCCAGTTGGCCAGCTGCTGCCCGCCGAGTTCTGGATAAATAGTTCAGTTTCATAACATAAATCAATAGAACACACAAAGGCTCTGCCAAATGCAACAACTACATAGGATAAGTCTGGACATGTTCCCACATGAGCGATGGGCACTTAAGTTCTCTTACCCGGGGATTCTACCGGATCCGGTCCGCCGCCGCCACTGGAGGAGAAGCTCTCGCGATATTACTGATAGTTTTGGCGAGACTAGACGAGCTCTCACGAGATCTCGCGTGTTTCCCCGTGAGACGTTGAAAGAGATCCGCCGATCGGTGTATACGGCGGTGTATATAAATCCCACAACCCTGGCCTTGCCTATTATCAAGCTAAGAACAGTTCAACATATTGATTTTCTTTTATCTTGAAAATTAACCAGATATTTAACCCTTTAGCCACATACAACTGCTGCTCATGCTGTGGCGTCCGGCAAAAATAGAACCCTTTCATATCTGATCTGGCTGCCAGAGCCGATCCGCAGCAGAGCGGGATGGCGGACGGATTCTGTGGAAAAACACACGTTAATTATAATGCTTGCGAATTTGAGCCGCCTGCCGGAGTGGAGTGGAGCCATTCCAGATCCTGTGGGTTTTGCCCATTACTGAAACGCTTGAATCAGTTCACTAAAAAGATCCGTTCAAAAGATACCTTCACTGAATCACCAAATCATTCAGCGCTTGGCAGGAGGAGTCTGCGACAACAAAGTTTTCTCTGAGGTACACTTGAACACAACACACCCCTATTTTTCTTGCTCCAGCCAAGAGCTTGCTACAGCTGGTGAGTTTCACTTCCTTCACCTTACTGCCAGCCTAATGTTTTACGTTTGTTTAATTGGAAAAACGGTCACCACGACAGTGTGTCCCTCAGGTGAAAATGATTCTGGAGAGTGTAGCATAACCATGCTGCTCACCTGGTAACACTGTGTGCAATGGCAGCTGCCCTGCTGACAGCTCGACTGAACTGAGAAACTAACGAATCACTTGAGAATGTGATTCGGTTCAGTACATTCACTTTAGAGATTCATTCTTTTGAACAAATCATTTGTGAACAACACAACACTACCCCACCCCCTCTTGTCTGACTGAAAGCATTTGTGCTGGAATCATGGAGAGGAGACAACCTCACACAACTCATGTAACCATTTTCAAAACTAGAAGCAGTTTTTTTATCCCATTTAGCATGACTGCTAAAGCATTGCTTTGTTTCCTCAATCTACAGTGACACAAATTCAACTCCTGAAACAATAAAGTCTATAAAGTCAGTCTTAAATGATAAAAGTGTTTGCAGCTTTGTGAACAATAGACAGAACATCCTTTAAGGAAAAGGAGACCTTGAATGGGCCCAAAATTAAACTTTGTCTTTGTTTGAATTTTGTTAGAAAGTAAAGACAATTTTACTCTAACAATACCAGAGGTTTAGATTCAAGAAAATCAGTGAGTTATCTGGCTTAGAACAAAATGGCATTGTATACTTGACAAAGCCTGCAATGAACCTGAGAAAGTTAGCAAGGCAAGGTATGAAAGAGCTGTTGTTTAACCTGCTACCCCACAGATAGCTGGTCCTAGGTTTGAATCCCAGCTGGGACTTTCCTTTGCAGAGTGAGAACGTTCTGGACTGAGACCAAGCTTTCACACTGCCTTGCTTTAACTTCTGTATAGCAGTACATTACAGTGGGGATGGTTACAGACAGGTCACATCGAGCAGGTTCTAGATCCTGGTCATGACAGAGGCCTGTCAGCGTAGATCTAGAAAATCCAGGAGCCTATCTCCTGGCTCTGGACCATACTTTTGAATCACTATTATCTCCCAGGAGGCAAATCAGTCAGAGTTATAAATTCTTACGTGAGAACGCCTTAGTGTGGTGTTTGGCAGTGATGTCCATGCAAATATATAGGTGTTGGGTTCGAATCCCATCTGTGGCCTATTTATATGGAGCTAGAATGGCCTGGATCCTATCACCTGGGTCTGGTTTCTGATGGTTGAAGAGGTCATTTACAAGATTAAATCTGTGAAATTACTCAGACTACTTTTATTCAACACATCACGAATGTAAAACAAGAAAAAACACCGAAACACCCCGTTTAAGTAATTCTATTTCTTTATTTCATACTTCATGTCAAGATATCTTTTTGTCATATGAAGTTATGCCTCATAACAAAAGAATGTGTTAGAAGAACAAAGAAACGTGTGGCTCACAAAATAAAGGCATTCTCTCATAATATTTTTTACAAAGTCATCTTACAACGAACAAAAACAACAAACAATGTCTCGGTTGAAACAGCAGAATACGATAAATCAAAGTTCCTCACTAAACGTTTGACTTTAACCTAACTGTGACAGAAGAGAAAAAGAAAAGAATGATCTGTACAAACAAATACAGTTTAGCTCCTGAGATTCTCCATGGGTCTCCGAGTCACTGAACAAAATCTGAACCGCAGCCGTGTGCACGCGCTGAATTTCTACCACCTTTCTGCAATGGCTGCAGCTTTGGAGCAAGCTCTGACCCTGCCGTACACACACCTGGTGACGTGAACAAGTGCCAAAAATGAAACTGCAACTCGAATAAAGTCTTCACTGCATCTTAACCAAAACCATCGTCTCTCTTTCTGCTCTTAAAAGATTTTACAATCAGAAACAGAAAAGGGTGAAAAGATTGAAGCTTGTTTGAAACGTAGATATGATGTTAAGTTAGTGTATAATCATCTCTTCTTCATGAGGACACAGACAACTTTCTCTCTTTCTTTTTAGCCACTGAAAACTTTGGTGATGCAGAAATGTTTTAAAGTACCTGAACACTTCACTTTAATATTGCTTTGACAAAATATGCTGTACAATATTCACTGACGTCACGACCATTTTGACATTCACACATATGAAAACCTGACGAGGAGTTGGCGAGCAAATATTTATGTGTACAGAAGAGCTAGAGTCAGATTTTGTGGAAACAGAAGCTTTTGTGGATAGTACTGTTACACTGTTTACACGTTTACCACCTCTCCGTCTTCACTTTTTTACACAACAAAAGGGAAAATATAGTTTTGTATATCTCACTTCTTTAATCTCCTTTCATAACTTCTCCCTCTGCAGCCAGAGATAAACTCAGATCAATCGTCAGTTTTTGCTTTTTTTTCCGTCCCTCGCAGATCCAAGATTGAGGGTTTTTTTGGACGAAGACAAACACGTTTCCATCTGTTAGGGAGATCTGTTCAACCAATGGATGCGTTCGAGACGAGTCCTTCTGTTCTGTGCCAAAGCCAAAGTCCCAGTTGACATATCACTCAGACAGTCATCCATAATCTGTCCTTTTTTCTCTGCCAAAGAGTATGATGAAAAATCTGTTATCCTAACTTAACCCACAAATTGTTCCCTCCTCCTGCTGATTCAGTTCTTCTCTTTAAGCCTTGAGGATAGGTGACACGTCCACCGCTGATGTCCTTCCCCTCCTCAGTGCCCGTTGGTCTCAGGAGCCGAGGCCGGGGTGGAGGGAGTGGAGGAGCGGGAGGCAACGGATGCTTTCTCTCCACCGGGGCTGGAGATTGAGGGCACGCTGTCGGAGGCTTTGACCCCCGCCAGACCGATGGGAGACACGCCGGCTGCTCCTGATGCTGCTGCTGCTGCTGCTGCTACAGTCGCCGTCCTGCTCGCAGAAACCGGTTTGGGCTGAGCCTGAAGTCCTGGGCTGCAGATGAGGTGATGCCTCTCCCAGTCTTTGTGCTGACAAAAGGAGCCGCAGTAGCGTGCGGCGTTGCAGCCGCTGCATGTCTCACTGGCTTTGCGGCCACAATTCCAGCAACACTGGAGAGAAAAAGGACAACATTCGTTAGTTTTCACATCAATGTTAGAAAAGCAGGGTTTAATACGCTTATTTGGCAGCTCCAAATTGGAGTGGTGGCAACATCTGAACCTAAAATTGGCGAAATATTATCTTTTTAACACAAACATAACTATTTCAACATCCAACAGAAATGGAGCAACACTGCCCTTCATTTTCATCACATGATAAATTAAAGTCCAATGTTTACTTTCCTGCCTGGGGGAGACATCAGGCTTTTAGCTGCTAATTGCTCCATTATGTCTTTACGCGTCTTTTGATTGGTGCTGGTCGACCAGCAAACAGTGGAGGTTTGGAGAATGTTTCAGTAAAAACACATGTTTGTGTTACAGAAGTGGTGGGAGTGAACCAGGACTGCGGAGCCTCGTGCCAGGAAAACAAAACAATGAGAGAAGAGATGTTTTTAAACCTGGCTGAACTTAGAGAGGGGGGCACCGGGATCAGGTGATAATTATGTGAAGGTTAATCACAGCGAGCAACATCTGGTGCTTTGACGCAGTTTTGGATCCACTTTAGAAATGACTCAGACAGCTTTTAGCTTAACTTTAGAAATGTGAATGTTGATAAAATAATCCCTTATCATCATCTAATGTTTACATTTTAAGGCGTCTTCATTATCTCTGAGGGGGCGATTTGTTTATTTAAGGTCTTGCATACGTGAAAACATCGTGATAATAATTGGGATTGGACGATATGACAAAATATATCGTGATTATTTTTTTTGCCAAATCGCCAAGTCCTAATGCAATCACACAGATACACCCACTGTCCAAGACCAATTCACTTAGACTTACAGTGCCGCCCTCTATTGGTCACTTGTTGTCATGGATTGTAAAGTCTTAAATCAAACCAGCGCTCTGATCATGTATAAAAACCGTTTCTTTGAGTGCCTGGTGCTGATTTTGATCGCCCTCACTCACCTCACTGGAGTCCTCCTGTTCATTAATGACCATGATCGCGTCCTCTTGAGCCTTCCTCTTCGCCTCGGCCAGAGTCTTCTCCATCTTTGCCCTCTCGGCCGCGATCATCTCGAAAGCCTTCTGCTCTGCCTCTGCCACTGCCTTCTGGACCTCGTCCATGGCCTGACGCTTCACCTCGTTCACCGCCTCTTCTAAAAAGAAATCATGAGGGGACACGACTTTTAATCTGGGCTCAGCTTCTTAGAGCCTGACCGAGTATGTGGAGCAGCTCAAAGATGCATGTGATGTTGGATTTATCATCAAGCATGTTATTAGCTCTTAATTGTGTTTAAGCATCTTATCAAATTTGACGGTGTTCTTACCAGCTTTCCTCCAGATCTCATCTGTAACGTATGCTGAGCCTGGCCGTGGAGCAAAGTCGCGCTGGGAATCTGCAGGGAAGCAAAGACAGAAGGGATTAGCACCTGCCAGGGCAGATTAAGATATTAGGATGACTAATTGTTAAGATAACGGTTGACTTTGTGTTGACTGACGGTTAAATCAACATAACAGGTGCTCGCAGAAAGAAACAAAGACTGCAGAGGGAGGAGGCGATATTATCTTTGTTATCTCCTCTTTTATTTCGCCTTCCATGCGCACAAGTCCACATATCTAGGCCACAGGACCGTAGTAATTGTTGTTTATCGGAGTCTTGGACTGATCTGAGATCTGACAGCTTCAGGAAGGAATGTGTTTGGCTTGGAGGGAATCGCAGACCAACAAGCTGTGTCAACATTCTGTCTGTTCCTTCAAATCTATCTCTCTCTCTCTCTTTCTGCATCTCCTTCCTCCCTCCCTCCATCTCTGCCACCTGGCTTATCTCCTCTTTCCCCGTCTCTATATCCTCTGTTTCACTTCCTATTCCTCTCTCTTTTTTTCTTCGTTTACATCCTCTCCCATTAACCAAGCCTGCGTACACCCTACCCGCCTCCAACTCCACCCCCACTACAGTCTTCTTCAGCCCCGGCACAAGCGAACAGGCAGGCTTCCCGGCTGGGGGCCCAGATGGTGCTCTGGTGAATGAGCCAGCTCTAGGTCTCTGAGCCTGCAGGACGGCAGGACGGCCCTTCTGTGGCCGATATGGCCGAGGCCAGTCCTGGCACCTGTCTGTGACTACGGACCAGCAGGGGGACGGTAAGGCTGGCGCTCAGAGAGGACCGTGCCAGTACACAACAGACCAGGGGACTCACTGCGGACAGGCTCACTAACACACTGACACGGGATTTGGCTGCACTTTCCTCAACTGCCACTAGAGGGAGTACAGGACATGAAAAAGACAATAGGTTGTCCTGACTAAGGCTCAGACCTTTTAGCCTCAAATAAGTAAACTCGAGGATGTTTGATCATGTAGTTTAGAGTTCTTAAAGTGCGAGTAAATGCTGATAATTTTACTATTCTGAAGATACAGATGTTTTTAAAAGACCCAGAACCAATGCTGCTCAAATATGCCTCACATGGGTTTGTACCCTTCTTTGGCTTCAAGTGTTTCATCCTGGAGTAAAAACCTTCTAATCTGAGCTTTTTACATTTGATTGATACATAATCAGCTTTAAAAAAAACATCATTTGTTTGAAGAAAAGGTGTAAAACCTGAAGACACCCTATCTTGGTTTTTTGTTTCTTTATTTGTGAATGATTTGAAGAGCATATATCAGCTTCCTGTAACCACAACACTAGTTTTTTATTCATAATCTCATTAGAATTAAATTTTCTTTTTTTTTTCATGGTAAAATAAGAAATATCTAAGGGAATGCAAGACTTAGGCAGACTTATATTGGACACAGAGGTGCACTGCTGATGTCTAGGAGGATATTTCACAGCATAAGTAGTGAAGTATCCACCGTACATGTTTGACTCCTCTTTGCAGACAATTTACGATCCAATCCCACTTTCTTTTAAAGCAGAAGTTTGGGAATTCATGTTTTTAAATCTTCTAAATTACAAGATGGCAGTATTTGGGTTGATGAGCGATTGTGTCATTTGGGTGAACTGTTCCTTTAAGTACATTCATCTTAGTGTTTGTGAAGCAATCATAATCACAATAACTGGCAACAAAGAGTGATGACTTTAGTCTGAGTTGTTGTACCCACCCGGCTCTGCAGAGTGGGGGCTGTGGGTTTTGGAGAAGGGGGCGGAGCCTGAGCCTCCTTTACGTGGGTCTTCCTGCTCACTCGAACGCCGTCTCCAGTAGTTGAGCTCTTCGCGGTCTGACTCCTGGCATCGTCTGAGCACGCTCACTGACCTCCGCGTCTTCTCCACCATGTCCACAATACAGTTCAACACCTACAGAGTCAGACGAACAAAAACATCATTTAAGTTTTTATGCTAGAATCACGTCTAGATTTCATGTACTAGATCTCTTTAACTGTTGAAAAAACCTCTGTAATCTGTTTCACGTGTCGTACTGAGACGTTTCATCGCTTTGATGAAATCAGAAGTCAAACCATCCACAGAGCGGGACCCCCCTGAGACAAATCACACTTTGCATTCTTCCTATATCACTACCCCATTAGCAGTGAGAGTGTCTGTCTGCAGCCTTACATGGTCCAGATGCCTCCATTCATCAGCCCACTCTCGGTCTGTCAGCCTGTGGTCCACCGGCTCCTCGCGGTAGCCCCCGTTAGTGCCTGATTAAAAAACACACACACACACAAGACAGACCAATGTGATTAACAAGCCACAAGTATGAGCTGGTGAGTGAAAGGTGTGTGAAAGTCTGTGAAAGTTGCTAAGCTGTGCTTTAAAACTTGAACTTAAAGATAATGTAGCTGCGTTATGTCACTGTTACTTATCCAGGGATTACTGTGAATGTATTTCTCCTATAGCTGTGGAAACGTGCCCTAAAAGACTCAGCCATACCTCCTCACATACTGAATTTAATCTGACAGAAATGAAGTCAAGTAGATGAGAAAGAAGGAATACAAAAATCTAGAGGGATTTAAGGATTGGGACTGAGAAAGGTGGGGTGAAAGAGAAAAGGAGAAGCCTGTGATGCAAACCAGATTTCCAGCAGCCCCAGCCTGCACACATCTGGAAGTCAGCTGTCAACCACACACACAAACACACACACACACACAAACACACACTAACCAAGACTTCTCCCTTTGCACCTCCCCTCCTGGAGCTCACAGCATTCCAGTAGGGAGACACTCAGGCTGAGTGGAGTGGCTCCACTTCTAAACACAACCAGCCGCTCTGACACTCACTGTGGACCATTACAATCATTAACACACGCATACACACACGAACACACACACATGCGCTCATCATACTCAGCCCAGCTTTCTGATACCAATTGTTATTACTCAACACCATGACTTCAGCGAAATCTAATTGTACATTTAACGGTTTTAATCATTTGCAAACACAAGCTTGATACATGTCCACACACACACAAACACACACAGACACACACACACATATGCTAGCTACAAACAGTCAGCAAACCACAGTCTCTTAAAATTGAGTAACAAACAGCCAACAAGAGGCCACATGCACACTGGGCCTGCTAAGGAGAATAATGACTCCCTCATGCACACACACACACACACACACACACACACACACACACACACACACTAGCCTTCCCCTCGACCTCTTCCCCACTCCTGGTTCTCATCAGTGTTCATCAGTTCAAAGCTACAAGTGTGTGTGTGTGTGCGTGTGCGTGTGTGTGTACTGATGTGTTTATGTGTGTGTGTGCCTGTGAGTTAAGTGGCGGCAGGCGGGCGGGAGGCTGTCAGACAAAGGACTAAGGCCTCGTAAACACAGCACCTCTACCATGAACATATCAAGGTGTGTTTCTGTGCATGTGTGTTTGAGCTACTGCTGTTTCCACTGTGTGCTGACAAGCAGGGCAGATATACGCCAGAGGAGATCCAACCCGGCCTGACCGCCTGCCTGCCTGCCTGCCTGGACAGTATGGCTCTGTTTATACACACACATGCAGACTCCAGAGATATACGAGGACGGCTAGACAAACACACAGACCACCCGTTATCAGAATATAGTCGTATGTCTGTTTTTCTGCAAGTGGGTTCACTTCTATATGAATCAGTTACTGGAGATGTGTTTGCATGGCGAGAACTTTGACCGGGATTTAGAGAATCCAGAGTCCAAACTCAGTTCCAGACACTTTTAAACCTCCGAAATTAAACATTTCTATGGGAAACTAAGAAAGAGGATTAGGGCCACTAATAAAACAAACAAAATAAAAGGTAGAATAATCTCAGAGTTCTGACTTTCATCTCAAAATTGCAACTTTAATCTCAGAATTCTGACTTTAATCTCAGAAATGCAACTTTAATCTCAGAATTCTGACTCCAATTCTAACTTTAGTCTCAAAATTCAGGCTTTAATCTCAGAATTGCAACTTTAATCTCAGAATTCTGACTTTAATCTCGAAACTGCAACTCTAATCTTAGAATTCTGACTTTAATCTCAGAATTGCATCTTTAATCTCAGAATTTTGAGTTTAATCTTGAAACTGCAGCTTTAATCTCATAATTCTGACTGTAAACTCAGAATTCTGACTTTTTTTTTCATCATAATAATTTTTTACCTTTTTATTTATTTATTTATTTATTTATTGGTGACCCTTATCCCCCTCTGTAGGAAGCACTCCAGAGTTTGGCTTGCAAACATCTCTGATTGGTCTATTTCTTCATTGACGCCATCATTGTTCTGGTTAAACTCTTTCTTGTTACGGATGCCAGTGGATCGCTCTGCCATGGTTTTGCATGTCAGCGACACCACAGTCAATATTTAATCAACAGACCCCGTTAGTTACTGGAAGAGGAGATTGCGACACTGAGGGTTACCAGTGCTTGTAGGTTAAAACTTAAATTTACCACAAACACGAAAAAAAAAACATCACTATGACTCACGATTTGAGTGTTTGCAGGAACATTTTCTCTGAGTTGAACCTGATTTGAGACATGGTTTCTGTCTACAAAGATGTATTAGAGCCCAAAATTATCAGTTTTTTACTGCCACAAATGAGCAGAAAAATTCTTCCTTTCTGCTCCAACCATGACTCAGACTCATGTTCTCATCACCAGCTATTTGGAAGGAGCACAAGCAACGTCAGCAGCCGTTAACTCTCAGATGGAAACTATGAGTCTGCTCTTAGAGATCTATATTTCAAAAACAGCTCTGTGTGGTGTAAAAACCTCCATCACGTACCAGGGAGTCTGGGCCTGTCTTTGAGCTCTCGGATCTCCAGCATGCGTTGGCTGTGCTCGCGGTGTAGGATGTGTGGTGCTGCGATGTCGTCCAAGGCGTAGTGCTGCAAGGGCGGTGGGGTCGGGTGAAGCTGGGTGTTGAGGGGCAGCGGGTGGGCGGGGCTGTGTCGGGGAGCCGGGCTGATGGTGCAGATTCGTTTGGCTGCGGGCTCCAAGGCTACAGGTGGACGTTCGTGGAAGCCGTTCTCTTTACCTCTGCAGAAAGATGGAGGAATATGCGGTTTGAAACTGAGCAGAAGAAATAAAAAGTTGATTTGTTTAAGCTCTCTGATGAGTTTTACTTTTCTCTTACCTGCTGGGGCTGTGTCTCTTGGTTCCAGTCTCAGGAGGCTCCATCAGCAGCTCAGAAGAGTCTGGAGACGAGGCCAAGGTGGTGCTGAGGAGGAGGTGTTCATGCTGGGACAGGTACTGGGCAGGGGTCTGCTTGGCTGCCCGTGCACAGTGGAGGAGCTCTCTCTGCAGAAGGGGGAGGTTCGCCTGGCAAAGAGGAGACAGATCGGTTTAGGAAAAGCTTGAAAACAAAGCTGAGAGACACCAAGTAGATCTGCCCTCTTTGGGAGACTCTGCTAAAATTACAGGCAGTGGAAGTGGGGGCACTGACTCCTTTAGGTCTGGCTCTAAGTCTCAATTTGGCTCCTGGTGTCGCTCTGTGGCTTCCTCCATGTTGGCTGCGGTGAACCCCGCTCAAATAAAAATGGCTGAGTTCTCTACGCTGCTCCTGAAGTTGGTCAGGAACCACTTGCGCACACCACGGGCACAATACCTCGGTTAGAGTATGTTATGGAAACTTATAAACTCAAAGACGTTTCCAAACAAGTGATACACAGACGCCACTTCTGGTGGAGCTGTGGTCTGTCTCTCTCTTTCTCTTTTTTTAATATTTATCTGCGACTGTCTCCATCCTATCTTTCCATCTCGCTTTTGTTCCCCACATTTCCCTAATGAGGAACAGACTCTGGTGTGTTTGCAATTACAGCACTTCCTTACTCCCTCGACCAGAGGGACCGGCTAAACAACCATACCGTTCTCATTTTGTGGCCCCCTTCTCCTTCTAAAGCGCTTTAAACAATCATCCACGAGATCCTTTCTCCTCAGATCTGACCTTTCCTGCCCTCGTGAAACTCGCCAATCCTAACAGCATCTCTACAAGATCTCACATCACCGTATCCTCCTCGGACACTTAGGTCTGATCGGTTTTATTGTCCGCTCTTAAATCACTCCTCCCTCTTGCTTGTCTCCCATGCTCTTCTGTGTCCCCTCGTCCCCCGGGGGCCCCAGCGAGCGAACACATGTGCAGCGTTTCACTTGAGCTCTCTGGGGTTCAGCGGGGCGGATGCTAGATCGGCGGCGCCTTGGCAGCTGAATGCTCTTTTTAAACGGGACAGCGGCTCCATATGGCGCACTGGAGCCCATAAAGAGGGAAGGGAACGCTTTATAGGCATGTTTCACACTTCCGAGTTCCCACTTCTTCTCTCTCTCTCTCTCTCTCTCTCCCTCTTTTCCACATCCTCACCCTCCGACTTTGTCCCATCTGTCTCTCCCTCTTTCTTAAGTCTTGGAATCAAGTTGAGTGGGCCCCACTCCCGCTTGTAATAAATTGCTCGAAGGAGGGGAACAGAGGTTTCTTGTCTCGGCACTCTCAAAACAGACAGATGGAGGGACTCCAAAAGGTGAGGGAGAGGTAAGTGTGGAAAAAAAAAAAAGGCAAAGATTTTGACTTTGCTTGAAGTCTTAGCAGTACCAGGACTGAAGATTTATTGGCCGCTAAACTGAGGGGAGCTCCTAAAAAGTATCCTCTTGATACTCTCCCTTGGTTACAAAGCGGCTCAGGAGGCTGTTGCTCGTCAAGTCAACACGCAAATCTTGATGGCCGCTTTGAACTGCTCAGAGGTAGTATATTCGATTAGAAAACCTACACGGATCCCTATTTATAGACAACAGCAGTGTGTCCTGGAAACACGGTAATAAAGTGTAATGAATCTATTACTTTTCCAGCATGACTCACGAGATGTAATATGATTGCTTGTAGATTATTCAGGGTTATGTTCGAGTCAAGGGCCCTCTCTTTATCGCCTGTTATTACGTGATTAATAATGCAGCGGGGTGGAAAACCTCAGCCCAGACGTGAGGATGATGCTTTAAGCAGAGTGAGATGTTTCCAGCAGAAAAGAGTCTAGGGTGTAAAGTTTAAACTCTGACTTGAGGGAGAGAGAAGAAAAAAAAAGGGAACTAATCCAAGAGAAAAATGCAAAGCAAATATACAGCGGGAGGATGGAGTGGAGTTGGCGTGTTTACCTTGAGGAAAGGAATAACAAAAGGCCGTAAGGGGAAGTTGGTCGCCTCCTGCAGCCGTGAGTGAAACTCCTCAATGGTGACGGTTGAATTCTAGGAGACAGAAAAATCAAGATCAGGAAACCAAGAACCAAAGCTACAGTGTCAGAAAGCAAAACCTCGGAAAGACCAAGAAAAACTTCTAGAAAAATATTTGAAGAGCTTACCACGAGGGCAAGAACCAGGCTGCGGACGCTGTCTCCGATCTCAGGAGAGATGTCGTTCCCAAACTGCTGCAACGTGGTCAGGAAGCGTTTCAGCTTGCTCAGCTGGCGAGCCCCACAGGTGGCTGGCAGCTGCTGGTTTGCCAGCGAGGAGGAAGAGGAAGAAGATGGTCCGTTGCTGTAGCGCTGCGGTGGAGATGGCACTGCGTTCAGGGTTGGTGGGGAATGATGATTCCCATTTGTTACTGGAGAAGGTGAATAAAAAGAGGAGGAATTAGGATAACGTTTCTTTTGTAGTGGATTTGAGATCATTGAGGGCAGATGTTTTAGTACTGTGTGCTAGGGCTGCACAATTTTAGCCATTTCAACTTTTTATTCAGTGACAACTTCGCCAAACTAAACCACTGAAAACGATGTTGTGCATATGCCAAGCCAGTAAGTAGCGCTGTAACGCTATCATGGAAATGCAAAAAGACAGAAGAAGAGTACTGAGCATGTGTATAAAGGTTGTTTTGGCTAGACACGCACAGGCGCCATAAAAGAGTTATGCTGTGTGTCACGTGATCATTTCCAGATGAAATGGAAGTTGTTTACGGATTTATACACTCACATGTACATTTTCAGAAAGTGCTGTTTACAGTCACCCAAAACACCGTTTCCGTTTGGATGAAATGCCAATACAACAAAAAATTTTTGCGTTTACTCCTGAATTCGTTTCCGTGGTTGATACCGCCTTCAGACAGACTTTGCAGTGGGGAGTAGTTTGCTGGAGTCGTACAGATTCCACATGACTGACTTGCTCTTGTCCTATTTAGCCACGAAATTATCGCCTTCTTTCGCAAACGCCATGTTTGTTTACACTGGTGTGTGTGTGGGAACTGAGGAGCGCTCCCACGGGAAGGAGGAGCATATGTTGGCCTGGAGGCGCAAGACACGATAGAGAGGAAAATCGGTTTTACAACTTTAATTTTTTTAACATCGTCATAATCAAATAATCCGACTATAATTTAAAATTGATTTATCATGCAGCCCTACTCTAAATGCATTAAAGAGCATTTAAGCAAAACTAGATCTGTAAATCAGCTACAAATCCGGTTTCTGAGTACAAAAACAAATGACAGAGGCCAAACTGGAGTATGACTAGTAATTTGAAGAAAGGCTACGATAAAGTTTGGATTAAAGAAAGGCCCTCACATGCTGTGGTGGAGAAGGAGGCCGGACGAGGGCCGCTGGGGTTGACTGAAGGCAGGGGAGGCATCGTGGAGCTGGAGCTGCTGCTGGGGGCTGATCTGGAATGAGTCTTAGCATCCACAGGAGAACCGGGCATGGCAGGGGTCTTCTTCTCTCTACTGTCTGTGAAGAAATAACACCAGAGGGGTCACTGTTGGGTCAGGGACTAGAACACTACTCAAGAATCAAAAACAGGTTTCATCATTTAGTCCAGCTTTTCCTTTCATGTTATGTACATCAGATAAACATCCCACACTCAAATAAACAAAGCTTTTTAATCCGTTTAAGCATTTACGTCTCGAATAAACAAGCAAATAAGACGACCACTTTCCCTTCTGCTGTCAATTCAATAGTTTAAATCAATGCAAAAACTTTCCTTCAATGGCCACAAAAGAAAAAAAAAGAAGTGCCCACCCCCCAACCCACCCCAACCCACACCACAGACTACCAGGGCATCACCCACCCTGCCTGCCACCCCCTATCAAAGAGCCAGATGTCTAAAGTTTAGCCTCTTTCTCCCAAACTATTCAGATCAATAACAGAAGAAATGCTGAAGAAGCCCATTGTGTGGGAGAAGAAAGCCCCCTCATTGAGCCCCCCCGCTAATGGGGAGGGGGGGTGAAGAAAGAAAAAAGAGAGACAGAGTGAGAGAGGGACGAGGTTATTTCACGCTTTACTAACAAGATCGGCAATCTTTTGAATGTTAAACGCATCTTCTCAATATGCTACGGCCCCTGAATGAGACCACCAGATAAGGGGAATGGAGGGAGTAAAATGGGGGGTGTGGCGGCATGGAGATGCGGGATCAGACGCCGTCTTTGTCTTCATGAAGGCCGGGACCCGTCTCCATTTAGAGTGGATCAGACCTTTCTAACTGCTTCAAGAATGGACGATTAATAGACAAGCATGGTCCTGCGGGTCATGGGTCAGCAGAGAGCAGCTTTTTAAATGTGGATTCATGGTTTTAGGGCTTTGGCTTCAATGGCGCCCTTTATATCTTTTTCACAGCTATGAACTCTGCATGGCCTTGAGCTGCGGGGTTCCAGTTTATAAAGGCTTTAAGTTGGAAGGTTTAAGCCGCGAGTTGGTCACTAAAGAAAACTTAGAGGGAAGAATTCGATGTATTCACATGCCGGCTCTTTCCCTCAGATGTCCCTCTCTGGGCTGGAGCTCCAAATCTTTTTATAAAGTAGTGCTGCTGAGTTAAAGGTCACAAATCATAAAAGATGTATATGAAATTCCAAACATTTTCATTGATTCATGATTCACAGCTGAACAAAAAAACAGACAGGAAAATGTATGAGCTAGAGCAAGACGCTTCTTTCTAACATTATTATTTAAAAGGGATATTGAGCCATAAATGTAAGTCATGGTCAAACACACCGTAACACTGAGTTAGACATTCCCTCGAGAGATAAATGTTGCAGACTGTTTGCTTCTCTAGTTATATCAACTTCAGCAACGACCGCACGATAGCAAAACACAGCGGTTTATGTCGTCATGCGCAAACCTCAACCAAACAGCCACTCTATAGCCTCAAATAATGCTCGGAACAGCACCTAACTTCATCAACTTCATTTAGAAAACAGACTAAAAACAACTCACCCACTTTCTTCCAGCACCCACTTGTTTGTAAGGGAGCGCTGACAAGTCGATCACCGAGTGCAGCGGAGTTTCACAGCTCAAGTAAGAACATTTATGATTATTACTTCATGGAAATACAATCAGAGTTCTTGTGTATCTTGTATGTGCTCGGTCTGATTGCATTTCCATGAAGTAAAAATCATAAATTTTCCACTGCACTCAGTGATCGACTCATCAGGGCTCCCCTACAACAAGCGGCTGCTGGAAGAGAGTGGGTGAGTTGTGTTTAGTCTCTTTGCTAAAGAAATTAGTCAAAGTTAGAAAGATGTTTGGTGGCTAGTACTATGGCTGGGACCCTGTATGTGCTGTCTATGAATTTAGGTGCTGTTCTGAGCATTGTTTGTGGCTATAGAGTGGTGTTTTGGTTGAGGTTTGCACGTGGAGACATAGACCGCTGTATATCGCTATCATGGTCATTGCTTATGTTGGTATAACTCAAAAAGAAAGCGGTCAGCAAAAATCATCTCTCGAGGGGGTGTCTAACTCGGTGTTAGGGTGTGTTTGACTGTGACTTAAATTTACTCAGGAATATCCCTTTCACAGTGGAGCATCCTCAGAGGGGAAATTATGGCCTGCTGTTTCTAAAATATCAACTCACTGGGCTTTTAAACCTTGGAGTAAAATAAAAAGGTTTCAAAACAAATTGCGAAACTGTTCATTTTAGCTTGGAGTGGTTTTAATTAACTCTAAAATAAAGCGAAGTAAATAATCTAAGCTCAAAGAAAGCTTGACAGTCTGTTGGCATTTGTTTAAGTGCATATTGTGACTAACCTTGTTACCAGCCAGCAGAGATTCTTATATCAAAGGCATATGGAGAGACTCACACTTTCCTCATAACTCCTTGCATCAACTGCTTCTATCCGCACAGTTTGTCATTTCGCCCCATGAAACTCATCTGTCGTGTCTGCAACTCATTAAACAGCTTTGACTGTTCTGCCTCCTGTTCTGCAGCCCTCGTCTTCCCTCTCCTCATTTTCATTCATTCTTCCTCAGCTGTGTGGCCTGCCTGCCATCTCTCCACCTGTTCCCCAACACAGGGGGGGGCAGGAAGGAGGGATCTAAGCAGACATTTGGACTGTCATACCCACCATACAAACAGCTTGCCAGAACACCGCAGGAGCAGCCTGCAGCACACACACACACACACACACTGACACACTGATACACCGGCTCCAAAGCTTTGCACACTCCAACCGTATGGCCAGGAAATTAGACTGACATCTCAATAACAGAATCAGCGTGGCATATGGCCTTAATGTCAACACTGTTACCATGTAAACAACTTCATACGGCCAAGAGACGGGATTTGGGCATTCAGAGAGCGCTATACAGTAATGGTGCATGGAAATGTATTCACAAGTACTTGTTAGCACATTATCAACAGTTCTCCATTGGCAGTGAACTGAAGTTCTGGGTCCAAATTGACTGTCATGCTTGTAGAGCTTGTATTCGCCCTATTGTGTTTGACTGACAGCTCTACATGAGGCAAAAAACACGCATGACATTACAGTATAGGACTCAAATGTACGGTTGCAGCTGTGTTTATGCAATCTGATGAAGTGGCTCTATCTTTTCGTTAGCTGCGCCAGAGTAAACATCCAAAACAGGAGACACCAGGTGTGTGTGTGTGTGTGTGTTTGTGCGTGTGCATGTAGTGCTGAAAGCCTGCAGAGAATTACCTCTGCTTGTCAATTAGACAGCGAACATAGCTGGATGACTTCATCTGGCTTGCAAGCACCTGAGTCCACCGTATATAGTCACAGGGGAGGCAGCTGTCACTGCGGCTGCAAAACACACACACACACACAGAGCGCACAAAGTGGTCTGATGTTAACTCAGGTGAATATTGGCTTAGAGGAGGATGTGGGCTGTTTGTCTGGTCTAAATGCCACCTGTCATCAATGCTCTAATGGAACAAAGGGAAGGTACACAGAGCTCCCCAACACACGTCAACAGGATTAAATGGAAACGCTTCGTCCATCTAACAACACTTTAAATTCAGCCGGCATCTGAGTCGACTAAAAAAATATCAAAATAACTCCAAGGACACTTTTTTATATCCTGTAAAGCAAAAAGAAAAAAATGAATCCGCTCCTACCCTCACTCCTTCTCCCATTTCTCCTCCTCAAGCAGATGACACACATACTCATTTTTATGAACTGGTAATTTACTCAGGCTCATTTATTCGCTTTCTACAACTGTTGTCATTGTGAGGACAGAGAGGTAATGTGCATCTGTGGTGACGGCTGTTGTTGCTAACCAGGTGTTCCCTGTTTGTTCAGCTTCAGGTGATGCTCGTCTGCATTAAAACATTCAATCAGCTTTAATTGCCTCTCTGCCTCTGCAGGTGATGATTCAGAGAAAGGAGGAGACAGACACAGAGAGAGAGAGAGAGAGAGAGAGAGAGAGAGAGGAGGAAGGAAAAAGGATAGAGCTGAAAGTAATCTATTGGACAATGAAATTAGCAACGACAAGATGATTAAAGATTAGAAAGCATTCAGGAGGAGGGATAACGGGCTTTAAGGCAGTTTAAATAAATCACCCTTGACTTGACATGTAAATAAATGGGCTAAGTGTTAAAGATTATTGAGCTCATGTTTTAACTCTGAGGTTTTAAACTCCCCGGCAGCTGTGAAACATGTGTGCACAAGTGTTAGAGATGATGCTGGATGTGAATGTGTGTGTGGATAACCTTCTCTGTCCTGTTGTCATCGATGAGGTGAGAAGAGACGTTGCACAGGCCTCGCTAATTTATCAACAAGCCTGAGGACAACTGGGTATGTGCAACGCTTCAGCTATGTAGGCTTCAAAGCAAAAGTTCATCAGCAGAGGGAGATAAAAGGATATTAATGGATTAACATTTTCCAATTTTACAATCTGTGCTTCAACTAAACAAAGTTGCTCTTGATACTGAGTGCTAAATGGGACAAGATTTACCAGTCGGTTCAACAAATTATCAGCAATTTTGAGACTGTTGGGCAGCAAAACCGATCAAATGTTGTGTCTAAGCCACTGACTGTGTATACTTTGGACAACTTGGCTCCATTTCTCTCGGTATTTCAAGGATTTTCTCCACTTTCTGTAGCCACCACTTACGCAGAAGAGTCGCTGCGATGACGCTTGGGTCAAACAGTGTATCCCCCCCTGGTGAGCCACGCAATCTTCGTATGCCAATAGGCTGTATCAAGTGTCAATTATAGAAAATGCAAATAACTTTTAAAAATGGAGCTGCACAGAAAAAAGAGGACTTGAACACAAACCAGTTTTACAATAACTACATGTCAACATTGCAACCAGGGGGGAGAAAAATGTGTGTTCTGTGTAATTAATTTCTAAAGTTTGTCCACAGCTCCATTGAGATTGCTGGAGGAGGTGGGATTTATGACCTTTACTGCAGCCTGTCACCAGAGGGTGCTGTTCTTGGGGTGGCTTCACCCAGCGAGGAGGCAGACGGCGTCCATTCTAGTTAGTAGCCACAGCTATGATACTAAAATGTTCTACTACCTGGAGTAAACAGGTTCAGATCAGACTTGTGTTTGAAGTTTTATCATTGAGAAGGTTAATCTGAATTAAGATGTCCATTTTAACTTGGCTGTTTCTGGAGATTTCTAGCAAACTTTGAAAAAAAGAAGTAAATTATCCTGTCTTATCACCAACATGTACTAATTTTGAATAAAGAAAAAATCATTAATTTGACGAGAGATGGAAAAAAAACATGATAAAAGAGAACTTTTAAACTGCTACAGATGAAAAATCTGAGTTGCTTTGCAGCTCAAGGCAAAAAAAGGACAAGTTAAAAGCTCCATTAGCACCAATGCAACTGATGGGCACTTCTCTCTGCTCCTCCTCCTCCTCCTCCTCCTCCTCCTCCTGTACCATATGGATCTAATCGGCCAAGAGCTGGCCAGCTGGGACCTCCAACAGTCACCTGTGAGGGAGGAGGAGGAGGGGTGCAGAAGGGACTGCTGGAGCCTCCTCAACTAAGCCAAGGCAGTCCCCTCCTCCACCTCCACACACACACACACACACACACACACACACACATTTCTGCCTTCTCTCAGATGAAGGGGGGTCTGAGGGGGAAGAGGCACGAGGCGACTGAATGCAAGCGAGTGGACTTAAATGCCGAGGAGACAAAGGCTGCACCTGGTCCCCGTCCGTCCACGCACACCGCCACAATACAGCACACATCTGTTCCTCTCTTCTGACCTCCACCCTCTCAGACACACAAACACACACAGGCTGCAAAGACGAGGACAAGCACTTACGCTCACACCGCGACATCCACAGATAATTCAGCGGTGTGTGATCTCTCTGCGAGTCGATGTGTTGTTCTAACCTCGTACTTAAACAGCAGGTTCAAGGACTGTTTCAGATCCTTTTTCTGCCTCTGTGTGTGTGTGTGTGTGTGTGTGGTATTAAGTTTCTGAAAATGAATTGAAACCCTCCTCTTTGCTTATTTCAATTAACTTTTCATGCTCTCTTGAGACCTACGCCTCCTAAACTGTTGCCTCCTTACACCTGAGGGACTCCTATGAAAGCAGAGATTGAATATTTTGTTCAATTCGTATCACAAACTAAGGCTTTAAATCTGAATTAAATGTCGTGAATTGACGCTCAGCTTTGTAAGAATTAAAGGCACTAAGGAATAAATTCAAAGACCAGATCTGTCAGACCTTGAGCAGTGAGTGCAAAACAGTTCAACACTGACAGGGCTAAGAAATTAGTCGCCAAAATCGAGGCGCCAGAGGTGGGGAGGCAGTAATACCTCCGAGGAGGGGAGGATGGGAATAACACGGATAGAAAATACTGTTTTCATTTGAAAGACAAGTCAAGTTGTCAGACTCTGAGCCAGGCTGTTTTTCTTGGCTCTCATTACCACCTTCCAGCCCTGTAGACTACATATTTGGACAAAACCCAATGTCAACACTCTGCTCCTCGTGCCGCAAAGGAGGGGAGCAGCGGAGAGGTGGCAAGGTCTGACAGCAAGAGAGAAATGTGTTCATCGCCGCCAAATGAAAGACAGAGGACACCTCTGAGGGAAAACAGAATATCACGGGGAAGATTTAACTTTCAAACTGAGACGTACTGCGAATTAGTCACATTTCTCTGAGTGATGATGATGAGAAATGCCCTCGTATAACCCCCTCGATGATTACAATAACACCGCTGTGATCCGGCATGCCACAGGCTGAAAGAAAGTTTACCCAGGGATGGAAATGTACTTAGTGGCAGAGCGAGCGAGGGAGAAAACGAAATAAGGCACGGCGAAGAATGCAGGCAGACAGACGTCGTCCATAAAATCTAAGAATGAGCAGTAAAAGAGAGGCGCAGTGATGTGATGCGGAGAGCAGAGGAGGGAGGGAGGGAGAGAGGGGAGGTTTGGCAGGGATCGGACGGTGAAAAGCGGACAGTGTCCACGTGTACATGAGGTCAGACTGAGGGGAGGACGCTGAAATTATCACATAGTCAGAAAACTTCATCTTCGCATGTTTGATGTTAATGCAAGTTTTTAAAGTTGGGAATTTTATCACCGTAAAATCATATTTAGCATGTGCGAGGTTGGGATTTTATTAAAGTCTAAAGATTTGAGTCTGCAGGAGAGGTTAAAGGTAGAAGCTGGACTCATACGCGTGCATCCAGCCTCTGTTTCAGTGGGTCAAATAAACGCGTGCTCTTCATTTGCACACATTTTATTAAACACAGACACACGCCTGCGTCACAAACACAGCTGGGCCACAATGGAAAGAGCTGGAAGTGGATGTGTGTCATCATATGTGTGTGCTGGCCCCGTTTACCAGGTGTTGGGTTTGTCATCGGCTGAGTGGAGAGAGAGCACACTTATCCCTGAAGCAACACACACACACATGCACACACACTCACACCTGTGAAACGGCATGCCTGAGGCGCACATTTACAACAACACAAGAGCAACTGTGACATAACACGGACAGTTCAAACCTGTCAATCATGACCTCGGACCCACAACACACACACTCAAAGATCACACACACTCTCGCCCGCACCAGCTTCCCTTCTCCCAGGCCAGTAGATTATCTGCCTATCAGGTTACAACCCTTCTCACCTCTCCGTAGCAAATTGGTTAGCCTGCCCATCAATCATCATGAGCCCACTGAGGCTTTAAACGCAACACCGCAAAGTGAAAACTCTCACATGTGGAAAAAAAAAACTTTTAAATAAAGTTTGCCTGTCTCTATTTTCTTTCCTCTTCCCCTTAAAGTTCATTCTCAGGGCATAAAAACTCATGTACTGCCAGAGCAGACGTATAAATCTCCTCTTTCGCAAAGAGAAGATGCATATCATATGTGTCTGGAGGATCCTAGATGTACAGCGTGGTTTTTATACATGACAAACCCAGACAATCTTCTCAACCCTCAGCCAGGCGGCGTGCTGTTTTCCCTCCGCTCTGTACTTAACATACACACGCAGAGACACCATGAACCTGTGGGTTAAGGTAGTCCATAAAACAAAATACGAGCTCTGGACATGAGAAAACAAAGCACACTTCAGGACGGGCCTGTTTCAGACCAGGTGTCGGGGGCTTGAACAGCCAAACGGTCTGGGATTGGGTCCAACCAGATGTTGCGATCAACATGTTGAAGATATTTACACAGCCTCTTTTGACCCTAACTGAAAGTGCCGATGTTTTGTTTCATCTAAAGAGCTTTACTGTTATGTTTTAGGCATTGTGTTGAAATAATAGTATAATGATAAGAAAGACAGAAGGTTTGGTGATATGTGCTTCTCTGCAGATTATTGTTGTTTAACAACACTGTGGATGTGGATGACTGTGTGCAGTTTAGGAGGTATATCCCTGAGGGGATGATAAAATACATTCTAGTGATGGAAATCTAAATGCCATATGGTACCGTACTATAGTGTATTGTCTTATAGAGTTCCTGACCATAGTATATCGAAACCTATTTTAATGTATTGATTTGTATTACATTACATCTTAACATACTGCAATATATTGAATTGTGTATATTGTGTTGTACCATATCATATCATATTGTATCATATCATATTATATTGTATCATATCATATCATATTGTATTGTATCAAACCATATCATATATTGTTTCGTATCGTACCATATCATAAATTGTATCATATCATATTGTATCATACCGTTTCATACATTGTATTATATAGTACATGTCGCATCATATCAGAATGTATTGTATTGTATCATATCATATCATGTCATATCAAATCATATTGTATCATACATCGTATTATATAGTATCATATCGTATCATATTGTATCTTACCACATCATATCGTACCATGTATCGTATCATACCATATCATATATTGTATCGTATCATATTGTATCATATGGTTTCATACATTGCCATATACAGTATCATATCGCATCATATCATACTGTATTGTATCATATCATGTCATTTTATGTCATATTATATTGTATTGTATCATACCATCTCGTATCATATCAGATCATATTATATCATATTATACCGTATCATATATTGTATTATATAGTATCATATCATATCATTGTATTATATAGTATTACATAGTATCATATCATATCGTATGGTATCATATTACCACATTACCATGTAACAAACTGAACTGTATTGTTAAGTATCATATGGTGTTGTGTTTTAAAGTAAGCGTGGTGCTTTGTGGGCACATTATTTAGGAGATTTCTTTCCAAACTGTGAGAAAACTGCACTTTTTCAAACTGAAACATTGTTGTCCCTCTGCCTGCGCTCACATTTCGAAACACTGAATGTGACTCAAAAACACCAAGCATTTACCAAAAGTCATGAAAACCCACTAACGATTGTGCCCTCTTTACTGTCGTACAAAAAAGACATTATCTTTTCCCTATGCACGGTCTCTTCACAGATGAGTAATCTGACGCCCTCAGGTTCTCTGGGCTGCACTGAATCAAAGCTGAGCTGTAGGTACAGTCCACAGAGTCCTCAAACAGAGCTGTTGGTGAGCTTAGCCCCAGCTGTATAAAAGACCACAGCTCCACAGCCGCTGAGAGAGAAAGATAAGTAAAACAAAGAGGCCAGCTGTGCTCAAAACAAAGAGAGGAATGAGACAGAGATAACTGTGGAGGATGAGAGTGTGTGCGTGGGTAGAAGTGTGTTTCGATGGGTGTTATTGTCTTTGCATCATGTATTGGTTTGAGCGGACATATGTTTAAGAACACCGCGTTTCTTTTGTACGACTTGAAAACAGTTGTTCTTGAAAGTGTCAGTGTGGGCGTGTGTCTAGAGAAAGTTTTAAGTCACAGCCAAGCCAACGGTAAAAGGAAAGCACAGTTTAGTCTCCTTTTTTAAAGTTAGAAAACACGTTTTTTTTTTCTCAGGCTGTCTCACAAGGAAAAGAGGAAAAGGGAAGTAAAGACTATGATAGTTTATCCAGAGAGGCTGCTGCACCACCCATTTCTTGTCCACCCACGAACCCAACGACACGAGCTGGGACTGTTTCTCTTCGAAGTATTTACATTAGAAAATAGCAGTCTTTGCAAACATCTAGATGCAATTTGCTCCAGTATTTATGGTAGATGATCAGTCAGGACGGTTTTAGCTCTCTGATCTTCATCTTGTCTCTGAAATTAATTTACATTTATGACAAATGACCAACATAGAAAGCTAAATGAAAAAACACAAACATTTTCACAGGAAATCAGTGGACTTCATCCTTAAAGATAGCAGATGCTGAAATTAGGCTTGGGAGCCAAAAATCAACATCAGCAAGGTCTTAAATTTGATTCTTCTCTGCTAAATGAGTAAATAAGTAACATCTCCTGAACAGATTGGGGTTTAAAAGTGTTTTAAAGCTCAAGTTTAACTTTTTAGCACTTTCTATAACTGTTAAAACCTCCCACAACTATCACAATCTATTTACACCTTCTATTCCTTCTTGTGTCTCAATTCTGAGCTCCAAGACTTGAATTAAGTCGAGTGATGAATTCAGTGGAGGTCAATCACTGCTTTTTAAGTGTGTGTTGATACTCTTCTCACTCAGCTCCGGCCACACAGAAAATAAAGGTCGCCTCTTGGTTCACTGAGCGGGTCTCTCAGGCCACAAAAAGGGTCACTAGACCCCAGGAAGAGACCCCTGACTCATGCACTTAGCACAACGAGCTCCCATACAGAGTCGATGGGAGAGCTTTTTCAGAGCGCAGGTGGTTCAATGCTCATTGACACAGATACGTCTGCAAACACACACACACACACACATAGAGCCATTTACACCACGAGGACAGGAGACGCTCGCTGTGATGAAACAATCATTCAGTCGCCACATAGAGAGACTGAGCGGTTTTTCTGTTGAGTAAATGACCTAACCCTTTTATGTCAACAAACACACTCGAACACACAACCTCTTATTGAACCCCCGGGGGCCAGATATCACAGTCCTCGCCACTGGAACTAATAGAGCACTTCCTGCGTCGAAGCAGCTGCTCTGTTCTGTGTGAACGAAAAAAAAAAAAAGGAGGGTACACTGCGGATGAATTCTTGAGATTATGACACGGTGCGGCGAGGGTCACGGTGGTCTGCTTCTGTATTTATTAGCGGAGAAACTCACAGCTGGGATTGAGGACAGGCAACCTTGTACTTGAGGAGACATAATGACTGCGGGACACCTGGTGCAAACAGGCGCATCTTTAGACTCAACCTGTAGTCTACAAAAAAAAGCACGAGATGACAAAAGCGGCAGGGATGAATGGACGTGGAGTGGATTTTATGAATAACGCAGACTAAAATGTCATATCCTTCATCTGGGAACAAACACACGCACAAACGCAGAGCAGAGCCCGCTGTCAGGAGCGTGACAGTGTCCAGCAGACCATTCAGGGGTCTCTGCTTTGAGACTGTGCAGCTGACAGCCAGTCTCTCCTATCTCCCTGATGGACTGGGTTGGCCTGGCCTGGCTTGACACTAGCCAGGTCTGTTATTTTTTCTCTCTTTCTGTCTACCTCTCCCTCACACACACACACACACCTCCTCCGCCTCCTTCTTCTCCAAAAAAAGAGAGAAAACGTACTCAAACAAAAAAAACTCCCCTGACAGTGCGTCTCAAGTTTCTCATACATAATATTTGTGGTAAAATAAACTGACATTTGCCCTCTGTTGGGATTCACATTCCCACTGATCCCAGAGTTGTATAACATGTAGGCACAGCATGAAAGAGAGACCCAGCAGTTCCCCTCCTCTTCCCCATATGTCTGGGAAAACTGTACAGCAGATGCACACGTCTCCTTTACCTATTTCTTATGCTCTGCTTGCCATGTGGAAAAAAACAGATTACAATCCCAGTAAAATGACAGCTGAGAGAAAGAGAGAGAGAGAGAAATGTCCCTCACACACATACACTCGGAGCCAAGATAAGGTAGCAGTTTGTGTATTAAAAAAATAAAAGCGGAGGAATCCTAATCCACGCAGGTAGAGGCGAGTTTCCTTTTCTTGCCGCAAGTGGAAACAGATGGGAGGGGATCATGGAGAGTTGAGAAAGAAAGAAACAACAGAAGGCGCTCTTTTTTGGCAGCTTGAGTGAGGAATGTAGCTGCTTTTGTGCTCCAATAAAAAAAAAAAAGATACCAGGAATGTCTTTTTTAAGAAACATAACTCAAATCGAGATGTGACTTTGAAACGGAGAAGAAAATCTGCCACTTTTACAGACGGGTACATTTATAAAGCTGACTAAAAAAATGCAGAGAAACTTGTTATAATCCTCTAAATATATCAAGAGACTCCCGAGCAATTGGGAGTTTTTTTTGTCCATATGGCTGCAGAGAGAGGAAGCAGGCAGACAAACTCATCCCTCCTACCTCAGAGGACAAGGATGAAGAGATGAAGAGATAAAGAGGAGAGGATGAGGCACCATCTGTACAGTACAGAGCCGCTCTGGGACTTAAGAGGGAACACACACACACTCAAACACACAGGGAAAAAAAAAGCACAGTTTGCAGACGCAGACACACTCACAATCACAGATAAATCACCACATTTCTCCTCGAAAGACCAACTCTTTGAAAATCTCCTCCCTACCTCCACTCTAGCAGAGTCCACTCTTCAGTCCTTGGAGATAAAAAAAAAAAAAAAAGTCAGCTGCAGCGGTGCGGTTTCTGCTTTCTTATCCTTTCCTCTCTTCTGTCTCTGTCTGTGACTCCACGCCTTCATATGTCAGGCATGTGTTTGCATTCCCACATATGTGAGCTCCAGTGTGGTTGAAGGCCAGAGCCAGGGACACAGATGGCACCCAGATGGAGACGGATCACCGAAGCAGACCAGAGCTACAACGCTGCACTGAAAACACTACCTCCACCTACTTTTCTGAGTCCTCACTTTTCCTCTTCTCCTCCTGGGAAGCTCTCTCTACCTCTCTCTCTCAATCTCTCTCTTTTTCTGGACTTATTTTCTCTCACTCTCTCTTTGTCTCCCTCTCTCTGTGATTCTGCGTCCTCTCCTGCACTCGCTCTCTCAAGCTCTGAGCCTCCCACCCTCCTGATCTCTCTCTCTCTCTCTCTCTCTCTCTTTCTCTTAAGCTCCTCCCCTGTTTTCCCACACACTCTCTCCTCTCCACGGGCCGGGTGCTCCGCCTACGTCACATTCACCCCCCCCACCCTCCCCTCTCCCTCTCCATGGATCCCGGCCAATCATCCACTGCTGACTGGCTCTATTCAACCTGCATTCACCGGCGATGGCCCTCGCAATTAACATAACTAATTGCTTTGGCACCTAAAGGCTAAACAAGAAGCCGTGCCAAGGGGGACAAAAGTGTGTGTGTGTGTGTGTGTGTGTGTGTGTGTGTGTGTGTGTGTGTGTGTGTGAGGGAGGGGGGTCCTCCAGGAGAAGTGGGGATCTCCCTTTAAAATGTTTTTATACCAACACCCCCCTCTCCTCCCCTCTCCTCCCCTCTCCTCCTATATTGCAGGCTCGTCTTTCATTGATGCCCCTCTTTTGTCTCACCTCCTTAATGCGGCCGCTCTGCCAGCCGACCCATCAGGGGGGGACACTTGAGGAGCATGAATGAGTTATTCTTCTCTCCTTCTCCTGCCTCTCCTCTCCATCTTCACTGAGTTAAACTTAAATCACCGCCTGATTTACGCCTCGCTCGCAAGTGCCTCCGTAGGCACAAAGCAGGTTTAAGATAAAGGAGGCCGAGTATTGGCGGCGTGCAAGCTTCATTTATTCTCCTCTCCTTCAGTTGAAGTTGAGGAAAGTTCAGGAGATGGTGCTAAGTTCATTCAGCCTGCGGATAAATACGACATTAATCTGCTTTTAATTAGAGTGCTGACAATACAGAGAGCCTGATCAGCGTGTGAGGATGTACAAACACTTGGCTGAGTAAACAAACAAGCAAATAAATGCTGTTGGAGGAACACAAACAGCTCATAAAGACAAGGTGCTGCCCCCTTTTCTATACACAAACATACACGCTTCATACAGCAATGAATAATATAAACATCTGATTGTCCCAAAGTGATCACAAAAGTGTGCGACTTTATCTTACGGGTTGTCAAAATTACATTTGGCCAAATAATCACCCACAATAACCTCGAGCTCCCCTCCTCTCTCCTCCTCGCAGGCCGCCTTTTATTCAGGGTGCATCTGGTCAGCCAGCAGGCTCAGAGGCAGGGCCAGGTGGCTGTGAGAGCGGAGCGGAGGGAGGGGGTGGAAAAAGATGGAGAGATGGAGGAAGGTCTCGGATCTGCAGCTACTGTAACCAGCATGCTGCTAAAGCGCATTGGAGGTGTGAGCTGAAAGTGACACCGCTGAACGGACAAAGGCGGAGTCGGGGTTAAAGCCAGGTGTGATGACGCAGGTGGCAGAGGAGTGAAGCTGGAAAATCATTTCACCTCACAGAAAGACTAAATCTAAGTCAAATTACATGTGGGTTAACTATTTCTAGGAGACTTATTCCAGCAAATATCGAATAAAATCCTCCAGGATATTGTTAAATATGGGGTACTACTGCAGATGCATTATTTTAGTAGTTGAAGTGATAATTTAAGTAATCTGAGGGTCTTAAAAAAGAAGTATTTAAAGCAGCTGGGATTAGTACACATAAACTCAGATTGAGGAAAACGCAAAACTACCACAATCGAAACAAAGATACCATTCCCGATTTGAAAATTTGACACTATTTTTCCTTTGAAATACGTTTGAAAAGGTTGACGCATAGTTGGACAAACAAACCTGGATAATGTAGTTTGGGACTGATTTCCTTTGTCATGTATTCACGGCGACCTGTTAAGGGGCGTACACACCAAGCGTGAGTAAAATCACTGACTCGCTTCATTTGCACAAATGCTTTGCGTATCAACAGAGTGCCTAAAACCAGGCGAGCTCCTTTGTATTCCTGTTTTTATAAAAAAAAAGAGCTGTGGATACGAGAGAGGGGGAAAGTCCCCATCAAGTGTGGTAGGGTTAGGGTTAGGGTTGTTGTGGAAGGCCCACAACTCTTGGAGATGTAGGTGCCGCCGTGTCTAGGTCTCCTTCGCCTCTGATTGGCTAGGAGTTCTGGGCTCCAATTGGTTATGCCTTAAGGCTGTAAAGATTAGGGTTAGAATTCGGGTTAGGGTTAGGAGATTCAGAAGTGCGATAATGTTCTGTAATGTTCTGTTAGAAATACAGAGCCAACAGCCCACGTTTGTCTTGAGCGTGTGATGACGTTTCAAGCTTTTCTAGCCAATCAGAGGCGAATGAGGCGGGACTTTCCCCTACCATCCAACAAAAAACGTATCACCTCCAGGAAACCAATAACAGGCGCTCTATCCCAGCTGCAGAGCGCCTGTCCATCTGTCTAATGTGAGAAAAAGGAATTGTGTTTATATATCTTCTGGTCCACTTTCATACGTCACCCGCGAATCTTCATGCTGATTGGTTATCGCAATGCAAATATCTGTTGAGTTGAGATATTTTTAACGCTCGTGAATTCATGTCCACTCAATTCTCACGAATAACTTGCTCAATTCGCGTAATTCACACTGCCAGAGTAGCCCGCACGTCTAATGGCGTCTTTGCGTTGACTTAACGTGAAATTCAGTCGCACAAATCATTTTATGCGTGCTTGGTCTGAACGCTCTATGAAGGTTAGAGTTTTTTGTTGATTGTTTTGGCACATAGTAGATCAAACAGGAAATGACCCAGGATTAACAAGCCAGTACTGTGAGAGATTACAACTTTGAATTACAATCTTCTTTGTATTCAATTGGTTATTTCTGTATTTGTGAAGTGGACTGAATGAGTTTCATGTCTCTCATAAGTAGACGACCAACAATGGATGCTGACCAGTTCTGTCCCTTAAAACTGCCAGGGGGGGAAACCAGCAGCTGGCTGGTCTTTATAAAATCAAGTTTTGTCCTCTGACAGCCAGTATCTAAAAACAATCTTAAAACGAGAGGCATTGTGTTTTATTCAGGCTGAGACTAAAGTCAAACAGACATGAGGATACTGTTGTTTTTCCAGGTTTTCACCACTCTTATTCCAATGACCTGCCAGCCACGTCTTCGTATTTCCAAACAAACCTTGCGGTTTTAAATGAAATAACACTTAAGCTGTGGCTCACTCTTCCTCATCCTGTAAGCAACTCGGCTGTTCTTCACACTGTTTAGTCTGGATACTTGAAAAATAACCCAAAACCCGGAGTGCTGTCTTCGAACGTCTCACTCCCCAGAGGGAAACCTGAGAAAAGCCACTTTGTCGATTAAGGATTGTTTCATGTAAACATTATTTTAAATTTGACTTGGTATTCGGCTTATTGACTCAGTACTTAATAACACCAAATGTCAACAAGAACCTCAGGGTTTCTTTTAAAAAGAAATAATCACCACTTATTACGATACAAGCTCCACATACTGCACATTTACTGTTCGATTGACTTCCCACAGTGTGAAAACCACTCGTACCAGGCGGTATATGCCATAATTATGTCAGGATAACAAAGGACGACACAGTTGTTCCCACTGTAACTCTTCAGAGTCGTAAAGTCCTGAGGGCTGGACTCGGTCTATAAGGCCAGACAAAAGCGTTCCGGTGTGTTCCCGCGTCCGCTAATCTTTTAACGCTTTAATCTGTAACTCCTGGATTTCCTGAATCGTTTACGATGTCCCTCCGTTACCTGAAGCGACACACCCTCCCCCCCTTTTTTTTTCAAAGCCCCTCTGACCTGCACTGAGGTTTCAGTCTGAATCTCAGCTTATCCTCGGTGGAAACATGAGACGCTGCTTGTCACTGCGATGGGGGTTATATCGCAGAAGTGATCTTTGTGCGACCGATCAAACCGAGGCAAGAGAAGAAGTTTGATTGAATTGACAGTTAACACACAAGCAGCTTTCTCGCATGTGTTTTCATTTAGGAAGTATTGATGACCTCTTTTCGCGAACTCAAAAGTCCCTCGCCGCTCTTCCCTCCTCTCCTCTGAAACCACGCTGTGCCTATAATCATTGTTATGTAAAGTTCGCTCACTGCTCTGTGCATGCATGCTGTATAACTTCCTTTTACAGTTATCCACATGCAGCTGTTTGCCATTGTGTGCATGTGTGCGAGATACAGAGTGGGAAAGAGAGGGAGAGAGAGCGATAGAGCGAGGGAGTAGGCAGCATCTGTTTCTGTTCACACGCTCCCTCGCCAAACTTCCACTTTTAGAAAAAGTAAACAGCATTTTTTTTTTTCTTTCAAAGAGAGGACAGAAATGAAGGAAGGAGGAGGAGGAGAGGATGAAAAACAGGGAGTCGAGGATCCTTAGACTCGGGGATGGAGAAAACAAGATACGAATCACTGACACAACAACATGTTTTTGTCATTTGGAAACAATTAAAACTACAGAGTGATTGGAAAGAGTGTGTATGACTGTATGAAAATTCAAAACAATGCATAGTCTCTCACAGTCTCCTTCTGTTTACCACATCATACATACAGTCACTGATTCACTGGATTTACGTGAAAGCAGTTATCTCCCATTTAATTATCATTACAATGAATGTAAGTTTACCTCGCCTATATGGCAGCATGATTAACATACAGAAAAGGTAAACAGAGGCTGGTAGCTAACTCCCCCTCCACTCAAAGGCTAATTACCTCTAAGTACCTGGGCTTTGTATCACAGAACAACAAGTCAATTGGGCTCTCTGGATGCAGGCGTGTAGCAACAGTTGAAGAGAGTGCAATTAAAGCTGGAAGTTTACAGAGTGCAGAAATATTTAGTGATGATTTATACTGTAGAAGGTTAGATTGTAATGTCTCGAATCAAACACCACAGCATACAGGCCGCACCAAAGGCACATAATGATGGAAGAAACAGTTTGTCAAGACTTTTTCCACTCATGCACTCCCAAAAAATTCTGGACTTTAGGGCTGGGCGATATGGCCTTAAATCAATATTACGATATATCGAGCAGTTCACCTCGATAAAGATAAATGGACGATAACTACTCCACAAGCTGGTCACCCCCTCCCACATTAACTTCGTCTACTTCAGCTGCCGCTACAACTTTTGAACCGTCCTCCATCTC